CAACTCATTACAAATGCAATATTAAAGTTAAAATCGATATCAAGAATGCCTTTTTTGCTTCACATTTTTCAAGAAGATTTTTTTTTTGGCTCACCTTCAAGTAGTTTGATTCAAATAATCTGATTTTGTTTACAAACTAGAAAGAAAAAAAAATCACTTTATGGACTCAAGCATGCTCAAAGAGCCAAGAACGACACCAATTTCTTTATAGATTGGGCTATGAATGGGTGATTCAATCCCCCAAACGCAACAAAAGTAGCTCTAGCCCATCAAAAGTCAGTGAGGCGATTAGTGGGCCCAACACCCACGGACTAGCTGCTTGGGTAATGCTCGCCTGCCTTAGCGTTTGAGGCTATGTGACGTCATGACGTTAAAAAAAAATTTGCAGCACATTTTGAAGCTTCGTGAGGAGAGCATCGAGCCTCTGCCTTGAAGCTTTGCGAACCTAGCCTTCCATGGTTAAGAGGTCGAGAGATCGACATTGTTAGTGGTAGAGAGATTTCGTGGCAACGTGATCGACAATGTGAGTAGCAAAGAGATTTGGTAGCAATGAGCCGAGTCGCAGAGTGATTTGGTGCTATGTGCGTGAGAAAAAGGAGGAGAAGGAGCTAAATTGGTTGGTGTGGTGTGGGAAAACAAAGAGGGAGGAAAAAATGATGTGCAATTGAGAGAGAGAGAGAGAGAGAGAGAGAGGAAAAAACTTAGAAAAAAGTACTATTTTTATTATTTTGCCACTTAGTACTATGATCTAATAGTATTCTTCTTCACTTGTAAGTGGAAAGTCTTAGGTTCGATTCTCGTCAAAGACGAATATGAACCATATTATTACTAACTCATTGTGAGGCTTAGCCTACTCCCTCCCCCTTAGTAGATAATATCGCTTGTTAAAAAAATTATTATTTTTTATTTATATTTAATATGTTATTTTCTAATAGTAATTGTCCAGGCAATTTATTTTACGGGGTAGAGATGCACTTAGGCAACTACTATCTACTAAGGTAATAATTGTCTTTGTCCAATTGACGGGGCAATTATCGCTTTAGTGGGGTGAACTTGCTCTTAGTTGTATACTTACTCCTTTATGTTGACAATGTAACACTCAAATGCAACAAAAATACTTCATCTATCCAAATTGTGATTTCTCAATTATCTATAATTTGACATGAAAGACTTAAAATTTATTGCCAAATGTAACAAAAATACTTCATCTATCCAAATTGTGATTTCTCAATTATCTATAATTTGACATGAAAGACTCAGGAGATTTGCATTACTTGAAATTGAGTCCATTTTTTATTTAAAAAAAAAAGAAAAAAGGATTAGTTGGTGGCTTCGTCATAGTAGTCTATTCTTTCGATGGTCGGAAAGTTTGAAGATGCATTTTAGAACCCCCTGGCCACCATCGTATGATTCACCAATACGAACCTGAAATTCGTCCTTAATCAGTGAGCTATATCAAATTTTAAATTAAGTACATTGAGTACAGAATATTTGTCCAGTGAAAACTGGAATTTCATTACCATGACAAAAGCGACACTAAGAACAAAAGCATCACCCCACAGACACCAAAAAAAAAAAAAAAAAACTAACTAGAATGAGGACATGGCAGGCCGTCCTTGTTATGCACCAAAAAGGAAAGAGGTCCGACGACCTAAGTAACTGCACTCATCTCCTGACTCTTACTTATAGCCATCATGGACAGCCTCTTGGACACTCAATTAATCGTTTATTCAATCTAACTTAATATATGTTTGGGGGGACAATGACTTGTCAAACCTTTAAAATTTGTGCTTTCAATGTACAAATGGGTTTTGATGAGTCTGTAATAGGAGAGTGTTGATTAACTACTTAATTAAACTACTGATGATGTTGCTGTAGGCTGTAGCATATTATACAAACATAATTCGTTGCTGGCTCCACCTCATTACCATCTTTCATCGAAATCAATATAGTCGACATAAAATGCAACTAGTTTGAATTAAAGTACTAAAAAAATATCTGATTTATAAAAACAGATTTGGATCCTCTACTGAACCCAAGGAGAGGATCCTTCTGATCAAGAAGTATGGGCCGTTGGATTTTCATTCAACGGCTATAATTATTATAACTTTAAAGGGACCCTCTGTTTATTACCGTTGAATTTTCTTCCAACCGACCACACTTCTTGGTCAGAATGATCATCTCCTTGGGCTCAGGAGAGGATCCAAATCCTAGAAAAACCAGCAAGCGGAAGATATTTATTTGAGGAGTCTTCACAAAGAGATATTTGAGATTCTACTGTATAACCGGTTATTCAATTTTTATATTTTTATCACGTAATAAGAGATATATAATTGTTTGATCTTTTTAAATTAATTTCTTGAAAACTAATTTCCACAGTCCTTCAAACTCTTACCGTTGAAAATTCTGAATAGGTCAAGAACTTAAATGATACGTTGTCATCTCCGTAGGACCGCCCTAGTTTTTGTTCATATAGGTTCTTCCAGCCGAACTTGATGGACAATTTCTTGGCAAATTCCTTTTCACTCATGTCTTAATTAATATTTAGACCAAGACTTTTGAATTGTTTTGAGTCTCTTATTGCCAACTTTTCATGTACGCGTTACATAATTTTCAGGGTTTGAATGTTAAATGGGCGGCTTCCTCGAAATACTACTTGTACTATCAATTGCATTTCATTATTATGGCAAGGGAATCAAAACAAAACAAAGAATATGATCTCAATAATCAAATGACAAATGTTAAAGGAAGGATCAAAATAAATTTCGCGTGTCGTTTATTAAATTGAAAGTATTTTGTCATCTTAATTATTATTTAACAGATTTTTTTCAAGAAATAAACAAAATGATTGATGGTAGACAAACTCATGGACTAATTCTATTAATTTCAAATCTCAGAAACTAAAATGAAGAGTTATATCAGTCTCAGAAACTTTTATAAAAAAATATTGTACTTGAAACGAGTTCGTCTTATCAAATGAAAAATAAGAAAGGCAAAAATGGTGGAAGAAAAAAAATACTAATCTTTCTAGGCCAACGATCTAGAAGCAATAATTTGTTTATTTTTCTTTTCTGTTTTGGTGGTTAGGCAGAGTCGCATAGTGATTGTATTCTTGGAATTATACCTACCAACTGTAACATTTATATTCAGATGCAAATGACTTAATCACACATTGACCAACACGCAAACGTGTAAGCTGATGGAGCCATCACGGACGTTGATTATGTGGAATTTTCTGCGCCCTTTAAATTTGACCTTCTAGTGGAGTAGAAGTACAATTGGACCGTTCTACTTCTGGGCAAGAATAATAGACTAATGGTTATTTCACCTCAGGGCGGATCTATGAAAATATTATTTGGATGTCAATAAGAATAGTATGCAGTGTGCAAATTTTTTAGATGAAATAGCATGCAGATTGGCATTCATGAGTTTTGATAGGTCTGAGGTCATGTACCAAGTTATATTGCATGGTTGTCGACATATTGCTAATAACTTTCGAGCGAGCGTGTCGATTGATGTTAATAGCTTTTGAGTGAGCATTCCAACAAACGCCAATATATGCCGTATGAGCCTATCGACAAATGTCCAAAGCAACACATATAAAGACATGAGGTTAACAGCTACTTTGCCCAGTGCTCATAGAGGCAATTCATCAAGTAGTTGGAGAGCAGCTTTCAAGAGCATCTTAGATTTTCCAAGGACATCACCCAACTATTAATGGATACGTAAGATTATTTAAACAATTTAAACATAACATTTACTCCTTGGTGACACTAAACCAACTCGTTAGTTAGCAGGTTAACCCATTAATTGCAACCGAACTCAATCAGACTCAACCCAAATACTAAACTTTATGTGTCGCTTCGTGCCATGTACAGTATTACAAAGTTTTAATGTCATCCAGTCTTCACTTTATTAAAAGAAGTGACAAGTTAAAATCTCATAAAACAATGATAGTTAGAATTAGGTATGTGTTATTCATACATCATTTTTTACTTTTCACACACTCTTTGTTAATTTTTGCCCTTTTACCTTTTTTAATTCAGTTGATTCGACAACCGCAAATTAAGAGGGTGTGTATGAAGTAAAAACGGGTGTGTGGATAGTACACCCCTAGAATTATTATGTTGCAAACAAAGGATTTGGATCCTCTCTAAGGCAATTGGTTGGGATCCTCCTGACCAGTATTTTTGGACCATTGAATTTTTATCCAACGACTACAATTATTATAATTTTTAGAGGACCTCTTGTTTGTAACCGTTGGATAGAAATCCAACGATCTACGAACACTGATCAGGAGGATCCGACTAGTTGCCTCGGAAATGATCCAAATCCGTAAACAAAAGCAACTCAAACATTATTATTATATGCATTGGTTAAGAAGAAATCAATTTAATTTGTATGAGTGCCTACTTTAGCACGACAAGACTAGACAACTAATCAAATTAGTATTCAAATCATTTGACACGAGTTTGACAACTATTATAACTCGTTGTGCATGAGAAACAACCCATATATCATGGGTCGAGTTCATGGTCGAACACATATATGTAGAGGCCCAAACTTAAGATCGAAGCGAGCGTAGGATGCGGAAATGACACTACCCTGCTTGTTGATGTCCCTTAACTCACCCTCAATATAATTTGCCATTTAATACTACGATCTAGTGATATTCCTCTTAACTTGTAATTGAAAGATCTTAGATTCAATTCTCATCAAAAGCAATTTGAACCACATCATTGCTAGCCCATTGTGAAATTTAGCTAACTTTCCCACTCCTTAGTATAGATACTATCATTTGTTAAAAATAAAAAATAAAAACTACGTACAATTTTTCTCCTCATACACACTCCTGTTTAATCATATCCGTCATTTCTGTTCAATTTATTTAGGATGGTGATATGCATACACCCACTTTTACTTTTCACACACATCTCTCAGTTTCCGACCGTCGGATCGATTTGAATTGAAGAAGACCAATGAATAAAAACTAACAAGAGTGCGGGAACTAAAAAGATGAGTGTGAATAACACTAATCTTTATTTAATCCAATGCAAGATTGAAACCCAAAAAAAATGAACAATGGTATAAAGAACCCATTGACCAATATCCAACTACTCTACATTATGAAGGAAGGTAACAAGACCTTGTCAAAATATGAAACAAATTTCCTCAGCAGAAAAAGAATAAAACTAAAAGTGAAGCCAATTGATTCTCTCTGCGCGCAAAAACACATCATTTGAGAAGGGTTCTGGTTAGATGCTCCCGTGCTGTTGCCCATGCTTGTGTTATGGTCTGCATTTTAGTAAAAGGCGACTGGATTAGATTAAGATACGAGTTTGCAAAATTTTGTGCTAGTAGGATTAGTGCTGCTTTGATATCTGAAAGATTGTAAAGATCAAAATTTGATGATCTTGGATAGCAAGGTGTGAACATATCTTCTTCTTTAAGCAATGGCATGAGTGACAATTAATTAATTTGGTTTTCAACTGAAGGCATCAAATGAGGAGCTTGTAGTACCTGCTCAGACAAGGGTGCATCTGCATCCATGGTATGAGTTGCCACCTTTCCTGCAATAATGCTTGGATCTGTTTCGAGAATCATCCTGCCATATGACTTAACGGCATAAATATACAAACACTTAATTGACTGAAATACGATTGAGGATGAACCAAGCAGCACCCATTTTGAACGTATTGGGGTGTTTCTGGACAAAATGCTCCACAGAGGGAAGAATATCAGGTACAGTTTATGGACATGGACTAGTGATTGTTATTATTTAGAATGAAGTGTACCACAATTAAAAGACTGTAGCAAAGTTTGTAGATATATAGGTGCATACACCCACACACACGAATACAGATGATCTACTGACACTTTGCCGTACTCATGATTAAAAGACTAACACAACTTTGCAGATATATAGGAGCATAGATGTAGAGTGTGAGAATTTAAGAAGCATAGCATACCCTCCATCAACAATCTCATCGAAACATAAAAGTATAAGATCCAGATTCTCTAGTGCCTCACGTTTGTCAACGTTGTTCCTACAAGAAAAACATTGTAAGACTATACAGCAAAGGTATGGACAAGTAATCATCAGAAAGGAAAAAGATCTAATAGAAAATTTTAATGACCAAGACTACCTCAAGAGAAGGGCAACTGCATCAAAAAATCCCTGGAGAACTGTGGCTAAAATCAGTTCATTTTCATCGTCACCTCCAGTCACAAAAAAGTGAAGGTCCTGCACGAACTTATATATAACAACGTTGCTCTCAAACATCATTATCTCCGCTGCAGTTTAAAAAAAATAGCAAAACATGAACGCTGCAACTGTGGTGATATAACATTGACTTTTACAGCACATTGATGAAGGTTTTTTTTACTTGGACTCTTTCCATGTTTACTTCAATCATGTTTAGCCGCATACCTTCTATCCGAGCATTTGTCTTCAGAGTCTTAGTGAACACAGATTTTTCAAAAGCCAACTTTGCACCATTTGTTGGCCAATCATCTGAGAAGTACTTGACAGCCACACGCTTTCCTTCAGAGTCCAGAAGAAGAATATTCTTCACAGAAGGGCACGAGTCCTATATGAAATTAGAAAGTTTATTAACTGAACAGCACGTCCATTCACTTCCTACATGATGAATACTCAAACTCTTTTGGGTTCAGCCTTATGGAACGATGTAGTATCCGTCATAAGTTCTCTTCGCCTCACATCAAGCTTTAATTCATCAACCTAAATAACTAGTCGGCTAGAGGAGGCAAACCTCAAGCTAATAACAACTGTATGTGGGGATCCATACTTCACGAATCACGCATAAAAATGCAGCATACATGTCCTGTCAGAAATCTATCGGGTCAAAACGAAGTGCTAATGCACCGGTGATTCTTCTCATTCTACAATCCTTACCTAATCTATAACAACACCATTGTATCCTCGCCGCCTCGGATCTTAATTAACCACATTAATCTTCTCAAATAAGAAATTAACCACAATATTCACAAACCCAATATAACAGCATTTCCAAACACATTCCCTGTTGATTCTAAATCAGGTAAAGCAACAAATCACCCATAATTTTCACAATCTATAATTACTGAAACTTTTGCTGAGTTCATAAAGATCTAAAATTGGGGAAAGCCCAGAAACGCACAGAAAGAAAAGAAAATGGGAACTTGATGCGACATTTAAAATCAAATAGAATGCGTATATGCTCGCAAACTGTTTGGGTCCTAAGAAAATGGGAAAAAAGTGACCTTGAATACGGTGGAATCTCCAGATCACCACAAAACGATTCCCAATTAATTGTACCAAAAAATTGCTAAGTGTTGAGACAGTTATATTTAATTGCATAGAATTCCAGACCTTTTTTCAGAATTTTACGGATCTTGTGTAACAATTGCACACACCCCCAGAAACGATCCTCATCGTAAACGGGAATCCTGGAAAATCAAGACATCGGAGAGAGAGAGAGACTTACACGGTAGCTGAAGAGGCTTGCCATTGTTGATGGAGTGGGAAAAGCAGCGAGCGTTTAGCTTTACAGTTGCAGAGTTCTGTGTATACGAATTATTTTTGCCAACGTTCTGTATTTTCTTTTTATAAATTAACTATGTACTTCTTGGAAATGATGCTTTCAAGATATTTTCCTTATAATCTATCAAGTTCAGGAATTCGGACTATTGAAATTTGATTCAACGATTAAAATTATTATAACTTTTAAACTGAGTCTCTGTTTGTAACCGTTGGATCAAATTTCAACGGCCTGGATTCCCGAACTTATGAATTAGGAGGAAGGGATCCGGAGAGGATCTATTTCTGTACTTCTTTTCATTCGGGCAATTTCGTCATTTCACGTTAAGGTTTGGAGTGTGGATACTACGTCAAATGACATGTCATTCGGGTAGCGTATACCCAAATCCGTTCATGCTCAACTCGACTTTTAATCCAATTGAGCGAGTTATGATTAGGTAATACCCTCCAAAATTGGGATGAAGATCCTCTTCTGATCTATTTTTATGGAAATCTTAGAGATCCTCACATTTTAACCGTTCATCGTACAACATAAGGTCAGTTTTTCGTTAGATACTATTGTAGACATCGAAATTGCGGTGAAATAAATGTTCACCAACGCATTAAAATTTTGACGTGTCAGGGCATACATGGCATATGCCACGTGTCATACAAATTGTACACATGGTGTGTGACTCAACAAAATAAGAAGAAATACCCTTGGAGGATTACACAAGTTTTTTTTTCTCATTTTGGGCAATGACAAGGCAAGCACATTTCAATCCATTGAAGATCAAAACAAGGTTTTCTTCTCATTTTGGGCAATGACAAAGCATGCACATATCAAGTTTAAAATGATATTAAGTGGAAAATTAGGCCATAAAATTACCACTTCAAGTTTAAAATTGTATTAAGTGGGAAATTAGGCAATGGTGCTTGGAAAAGAAAAAAATATTTTGTGGTGGTGATTCATTTTCAAAGCCTATAAATAGGCTTCTACATCAAGGTATCATCAACCAATTCACAAATACATTTCTCTACTCCCAAATTGGAAGAGAATCCCCCAAATCTTTGAAGCTTTGAAACTTTAAAGCTCTTAAGCAAATCTTGAAGGATCAAGAAAACCCTCTTCGTTCTTCATCAAATCCTCCTTCAAGATCAAGCCCCAACGACCCTTGAAGAACTTCCACCAATTCAAGATCAAGTCTCGACAGCCCTTGAAGAAAGTGTTCATCGTTCATCATCCGTTCATCCTAAGATCAAGCCCCAACGGCCCTTTGGATCAACAACATCAACAAATCCACACAACTGTTCATCCTAAGATCAAGCCCCGACGACCATTTGGATCAATAATATCAACAAATCTACACAACATTTCTTTAAGATCAAACTTCGACGGCCCTTGAAGAAGCTCCCAACCGTTCATCCAAAATCAAGCCTCAACGGCCCTTGGATCAACAACATCCATAAATCAACACCTTACGGAGATCAAATCAGAGGATCAAATTAGAGATCATAACCCTAAAAATAAAAAAATCACAAAATATTATTTTGTACACGTTGTTCTTGTCTCTTTCGTTTCAGGAAAATTTCGTGTTCACAACTATTTATGTTTAATTTTAAATAAAAAATTCAAAATGATTGTTGAGCACACGATGTACGATGAACGGTTATGATGTGAGGATCTCTAGTATTTCCACAATTTGGATCCAGATAGAATCCAAATCTCCAAAACTCAACCTCACCTTAACTTGATCATTTACTGGTAGGCTGGGACACTTGGAACCAAAATCCTAAAGTGAAACAGGAAATAAATCGGACCGCACTAAACAATTTAATTTTTTTGGTTTTAAAACAGTTTTGGTTTGAAACAGAAAAGCGATTTGATTTCAGTAATGAACATCTGAAACCGTACCAAAATCGAATCGAATCGCACCGCAAAAAAGAAGAAGCCTAGATTCCACATTAAAAAGACTACACACCTTACATTAGTTAGCATTCTTCAAGCCGTCAATCTGTTGCCTATTTTGGTTAAAAATTGAATATTGGCTGCAATCTTGCATCGTACTGATTTAAAACGCATATAAATGCTTGCTAGCTGCCCTCCGAAGAAAAACCTGGTGGTTTTTACAAACTAAATACCAATAGTGCTCTTGACGAGACTGCAAAAATGCGAGGTGTGGAAGCAGGGATTCATGATGAGAAAGGGAACTAATGGGGGCTATGGCTAAAGACCGTAGCTGCCATTCATGAAGCTAGTCATTTTGTTTGCAAACGATATAAACCAAAACCAAAACCGTTTAAAATCAAATCGAACCAAAACTAAATGGTTTAGTTCCATTTAGTTTTAGTTTCAAAACCGTATCAAACTGAACTGAAAAAATTTCAGCTTTGATTTCAGTTTTACCCTAAACCGCACCGAATCAACCATACCCAACCCTGTTTATTGGATTGAGAATTTGTACCCAATTGAATCCGAGTGAACTTGCAACAACCTAAAGCCTAATTCAAAAGTGCCTAAGGGGCCTTGCTTAAGTACCATAGTTCTTTTGAACATATTATTGATTTGGAGTTTGAGGTATAACATAACCCAAACTCAAACTCATATTGTGAACGTTGGGTTAGGGTTGAATAGGAACTCAAGTTGCACCCTTAAATTTACGCATCTCAAATGGTTATTATTATTTTTTGGCTTGCTATCACTAGTAGTCTTGTTTATACCATATTTAGGGCCTCGTATTTAGATCTCGTACAAATACTCGGGGGACTTAAATGTAATTATGGGATAAAGGAAGGGGCAAATATGTAATAAGTGAGGAGTCCTTATTCTATAAAAGGACCCCTCACCCTCACAATTAGGGAGGCCTCACTCTCACTCTCAGAGGCCATTTCTGGAGCCTTACCCTTTTCAACGCTCTCACTTCTAGAGCTCTCTCTCCCCCTCACTTCTCAGAGAAATATAATACAATCAGTGTGGAACGTAGCCCAAACATTGGGGTGAACCACGATAAAATCCTTGTGTTCTTTACATTACTTGCAGATTCACGGTCGGATTTACGTTGTTCCAAGACCTCCGGTTTTGTGCATCAACATTTGGCGCCGTCTGTGGGAAACGATACGAAAAGTTGTGTCGGTTCTCTTTCATTTTTTCATCTCCGTCGTGAATCTGCAAAAATTTGCAAAAAACCTAGAAATAGAAAAGATCCAGATCTCAAAATCACTCATCTCTCTTTCTGGAAAACACATTGAAGCTAAACAAAAACCCCACTTCTCGATACACAGACACACTTTGTCTGTCTGTCTCTCTCTCTAATCTAATCCCTCAGCAAAAACAAAAAAAAAAGATCCAGAAGAAAAAGAAAAGAGATTCCATCGTCTCAACCATCATCATCATCTGCTCCGCAGCCCCACCAATCCTCCGCCGCACCCCAATCTTTCCATCGTCTGATCGCTGTCGACGTCCCCAACGAAGAGGACGAGATCCTTTTCGCAGCTCCTAGCTCCCGCCGCCTCTGTGAGATCAGACACCTAGAAAAACGGCACAGCAGCAATCACAGTTTCTCTCTCTAGCTAGACCAGCAATGGCAGGGAACAGACTGAAACTCGATACGACGTCGCAGTCCTACTTAGAAGGAAAAAACAGTGAGCGACACCAAGGTTCTGATATCTGATCTTCTGCCGCCAATTCTGCAATCTCGGATGGGTCTCAGGAACGGGTGGCAGCATCACAATCAAAGTTCACGAAGACTCTGTTCCGAAGCCTGAGCGGCTTGTAGTCATGTCTCCGTCTGGCGTTCAGAATGAGAGAATGGTACGGCCCGGCGGTGGATTTACAGTGGGGAGATTCTCCGGCGAGAGGGAATTACCGGTTGTGTACACAGAAATGGACGGCGGGTTCAATGGTAACGGGGCTCCAAGAAGGGTATTATGGGCACCGAGGAGTAAAATGAGTGAAAGTCGCAGGATTTAGAGTGCTTTTCATAGTATAGCTTCGTTTTGGGGGCGATTACGTTCCAATTCATCATTTTTGAGGTCCGGGTCGGAATCTGGTATTGTATTTTAACGAAGGCGAAGATCGCGATTCGTGGGTCAAGGACGACGTCGATCTCGGGGCACGTGTTTTTGGTCGGAGACAGCGCAGGCATACCACATGTCCAAGCAGCTGTCATTAGGGAAAAGCAAGAAAAGCAATCGCAATTAAAAGCTTAAAGTCAGATGCTTTCCAAAGCCATAGAACGTGGGTAGACAGAGAATGAGCAGAAGAGCAGAAAAGAAAAGTACTTTGATGGGATTTTTACAGCTGGAGTACACCAGCTTGTGTTTCAAACAGCAGAAAAAGAAAAAAGAGGCGTGATAGTGGATGGGCACGACCAAGATGTCCAAGAAAAGCAAGTGGAGTTAACCCTTCAGTTTCGCCAAGAGACAGAGACAGTTTTCGCCAAGAGACAGACAGAAAAGCAATGGGGAACAAAGCAGAAAAGAGAAAACAAAGAAAATGCAGCAGAAAAACACTGCAAAAAACAAGGAATAAATACCCCATCAGAGGGTAATATGTATAAACCCCATCAGAGGTCAAAAAAAAAAAAAAAAAAAAAAAAAAAAAAAAAAAAAAAAAAAAGGAAAAGCCCAAAACAAATGGCTGACATGTTGTGGAGGGCAAAGGCCCATAGGCCTGAAATAGCACCAACCAGGTCATCAAAAGTACGCCCAGTACTCCGCAATTATTCGGCAACCCGCCGTTATTACCACCAACCAGGTGATCAAAAGTACACCCAGTACTCCACAATTATTCGGCAACTCGCCGCTATTACCACCAACCAGGTGATCAAAAGTACGCCCAGTACTTCAAGTCATACATGAGCATTACTCATGTCAATCATACATAAACATTCATGAGCATCACTCATCCAATCATACATATAAAACATTCATGAGCATCACTCATGTTAACATTCATGAGCATCACTCATGTTAACATCCATGAGCATCACTCATGTCAATCAACATAAACATTCATGAGCATCATTCATGTCAATCAGCTTCAAAAGACTTCATTTACAGAGCTCTAGCTTCAAAGACTTCATTTACAAGAGCTCTAGCTTCAAAAGCTTCATTTACAAGAGCTCTAGCTTCAAAAGCTTCATTTACAGAGCTCTAGCTTCAACAGCTTCATTTACAAGAGCTCTAGCTTCAAAGACTTCATTTACAGAGCTATAGCTTCAAAGCTTCACTTGCAAAGCTTCACTTACAAAGCTTCAGTGCATGGTCTACAAAGACCGCCTCCGAACAACCGCCACTTCGGCCCATACATGGATTCAATTTGAAGTCTCCAGCCAACAGACTCTATTGACCGAAGACTTGGGGGACTACATTATGTACCATATATTGGGCCTCAACTGGGCCTCATGAAAAATATTTGGGGGACTCTAGCCCATCACTTATGTATTGAGGAGTGAGCCCTTATTCTATAAAAGGGAATCCCTCACTTTCATTAGAGAGCACCCATTATTCATGTACTGAGGAGTGAACCCTTATTCTATAAAAGGGACTCCCTTACCTTCATTAGAGAGCAACGCCGCCAGCTGAGCAACCGCCTTGCTGCAAACATCAACTCTAGCCCATCATTTATGTATTGAGGAGCGAGCCCTTATTCTATAAAAGGGACCCCCTCACCTTCAAGCGCCACAAGCCGAGCCAACCAAGGCAATATAAGCCACAAGCCGAGCAACCTCGCAACATGTGCTACTTCTAGTTGAGCATCATTTCAAATTGGGCACCGCCTCATGTCGAGTGTCAGCACCAGACGCCATCTAGTTACTTCGGCCCACACATGGACTGAATTTCAAGTCTCCAGCCAAAAGACTCTCTTGACTGAAGACTTAGGGGACTACTGTTTATACCATATTTAGGGCCTCGTATTTAGATCTCGTACAAATACTCGGGGGACTTAAATGTAATTATGGGATAAAGGAAGGGGCAAATATGTAATAAGTGAGGAGTCCTTATTCTATAAAAGGACCCCTCACCCTCACAATTAGGGAGGCCTCACTCTCACTCTCAGAGGCCATTTCTGGAGCCTTACCCTTTTCAACGCTCTCACTTCTAGAGCTCTCTCTCCCCCTCACTTCTCAGAGAAATATAATACAATCAGTGTGGACGTAGCCCAAACATTGGGGTGAACCACGATAAAATCCTTGTGTTCTTTACATTACTTGCAGATTCACGGTCGGATTTACGTTGTTCCAAGACCTCCGGTTTTGTGCATCAACAAGTCTAATTATGCACATCAATGCTATCCTTAGCCTCAATTTTGTCCTACTGTTTCATCAAATGAAAATCATATCACTAGTTGTCTAATTATGCACATCAATGCTACCCCTAACCTCAATTTTGTCCAACTTTTTCATCAACTGAAAATCATGGTAGGTGACTAAACTTTTAAGGGTAAACTCGTCTTATCACACCAAACCACTCGCTTTGAGTTTTTAACTTTCGTTCATGACCTCAAGTGTAAGGGGTGAATCAAGCTCCCGGTGCATTTCAGTGTCTAGTGATAATGAGAGATAGATAATTAAATTCAACACCTCGAGTGTAAGAGGTGAATACTCTTAACGAGTTATGGTAAAAACTCGTTGCGTCTCGCATTGCACTATTAGAATTAGAAAGAAGCAAAAGATCAATGCACATTAAAATTGATATTTGTACAATGGATGAATAGGATGAATTGAGTTGAGTAGATGGGATTGGGATTTGTGTCCAAGCCTTCAAGGGGTGTAATAAGTTGGGCCACACTTGCATTTCCAACCCTCGGGCTCGTAGTTTGCATACTGCACCCTCAAATGGGAGGTTTGCTTTTTGGTGGTGGGCACTTGAATGGCTTCACAGGGAGTGCACCCATAACACTTATGGTCACAGCTTGGAGGGCTTGACCCTATTTTGCTGAATTCTCTGTAGTTTGCTATTGCATTCATCTTTCCCACTCCTCCATTGATGCTCTTTGAACCCTTTAAACACAAGAAATTTCAATAAAATTGAACTGAGAGAGAGAGAGAGAGAGAGAGAGAGAGAGAGAGAGAGAGAGAGAGAGACCTCTTGTAGGGTAGCTAGCAAAGACTCTGGGCTTTTGCCTGTGCCTGGCCAAGCATTAACAGAATTTAGCAGAGAAACTAATGAGCTAAACCAAATACTATCAAGCCACAGTGTGCCCTCTCTGCACCCGGATTCGAATTCCCCTCTCCGTAATTAGAATAGTTTACAATATAACATGTAAGATAAAAACATCCTGACATGAAAGAGGAAGAAGAAAAGGGGTTGATATGCGATGAAAATCTAAAAGAAAAACTCTATAAAAACTAAGGGGAACAAGGGAAAAAAAAAAGATCAATATCACAGAAGAAAACAGATACATATCCAAATTCAAACTTTCCACTTGAATAAGTTGCGAGAAAAAACACACATTTTTGTATGGTAATGATTGAAAAGGACATCTTGAATTTGAAAGGAAGGAAGTGAGTAACCTGGTTGATGAACACCAGGACCTGCATTTGGAGGAAAAGGCCTGCTTGTTGCAGAAACCCAACTCAATATTTGCAGAGCTATCACAAACCAATAAACTTTCCTCATTGCTTCAACCCACAAATGATTACTGTGATTATGGTGAGTATGATTAGAGGGGAGAGAGAGAGAGAGAGAGAGAGAGAGAGAGAGAGAGAGATTTGAAATCACTCACAACTCACAGCACAAGATGTACATGCACAAATTGATGGGAGATGTGTACTATATATATATATGTGTATAAATGTATATATAGGTGAAGAAAAAGCGTAGAGTACAAAAATCCAAATCCCGAAAAGCTCCGAAATTTTCTTGGTTTTCTCTCTATCTTGCATTGGTAGAGAGAAAATTTTGCTTCACAAGCAACTGATTCTGGGGTTTCTTGTCAAACTGTGAAAAGCTCTAAAAAGTTTCCACCTTCATTGAAAACTCACTTCAAAATCCTTGTATGACCAAAGGAAGATACTGATATGCTCTCTCTCTCTCTCTAGAAATATCTCTGTTTATCTCTCTGAAACCAACCCAACAGAGCAGTACTAAATGAGCGGGTCCCTAGGCCCAAAATAACAGCTCCTCCTTTGGGGTCTGGAAATTTCAAGAAATCTCAGCTCCCTTAGCTGTCTAGCTAGCTTCCACACCTATTTTTCATTAATCTGATATTATTTGCATTGCTTCAAAAGGGTATATGTGAATCCAGATTTCCCGAGGGAGTGGCAGAAGGGTTCATGTAAAGAAGTGAGAAGGAGAAAGGATCAGCACAGGAATTTAATGAGTTGTTAATACATCTATTTGGGTCAACTTTTTTTTTTTTGCAGGTTGGTAGGTGGGGAACACCCAGGCTTTCTGTACCTCCATCCAATCCGGACCCTCCATGTGGACCTGCATCAGCGTGGCATTTAAGTCTTTGGAAGGCCTCGATTGTCTTGAAGCCACTTTCAGAATCCCAGATGATCACATTGACACGTTATCAACATAATCTTTGCTTTCTTTGTTTTTGACAAACACATCCTCTCGTCTCTCTTTGCACACTCTCTGGCACACTTGTATTTCATGATTCTTCTTTCATTTCTTTGATTTAAAGGTTAGAAATAAATCTCAATGAAAAAAAAGGAAACAGGAGTGTATAAAGGCGGAAAAAAGTTGTAAAAAAATCAATAACAACGGAAATTATTAAACTTGAACGATACACAGATAATCACTAACTATACGTAACTTCTATAACATAACCTACATGCATCAATTATCAGAAATTAATTACGCAAACAGAGGGTTGAACGCTAGTGTCTTTCCAGCATAGAATTTGTTTAGTATATTAATTTCTTGAGGTTTGTGCAGTGAAAGCAAGTCCGATAAGCAAAGCTTGATAGTGCAGTGTATCTTTATCTGGCTGCTTTTCTCTAGGAAGTAATAGGCACTGCTGTGCCGTACTAATAGCAAATTTGAGTAAGAATTTGCTGCAAATATTTTGCCTAAATGGGATTATTCGGTCAGCAGTAACGTCATAAAAAGTTAGACTGCTGTAGCAACAGCACAGCACAACCCAATGTCAAAAGCATCCCTACTTACATACATGCATATATATATATATATATATATATATATATATGCTAGTAAGTTCATGTTCCTAGGAATTTCTCCTTAGTAGTCAATGTGGGGGTTATCTTTAATGGAACGGCTTATAGCATAGATCGAGATATGTGGCAGTTGGACCCTTAGCCATTGAATTATACTTTTAAAAATTCAATGGCCATAGACCTTAGTTCCTGTTATAAGACCTAGTTTGGAAGTAAGATGCTTAAAAAAAAGCACCTATGAAAAAAAGCTGTGAGGGTTTTAGGTGTTTGGTAAACTGAAAAAAAAGGGCTTATTTTGAAAGCTGCTGTGAGAATAAGCTGAAATCAAAGGAAAAAGCTGAAGCTGCTATTTGCAGCTTTGGAAAACTGATTTTTTTTCAAAGCACACGGAACTACAGTGCTTCTTTAATGAAAAGACCCACTATTAGACTGTTTTTTTTTCAAAAGCACTTTTACAAAAAAGTTTACCAAACACTCTGCTGATTTATTTCACAGCCGCTTATTTTCACAGCACAACCGCTTATTCTCACAACAGCTTTTTTTCAAAGCACATCAATACCAAACCAGCCCTAAGTCGTTCCACACTAGAATTTTCGGTCCATATGTTGAGTGTTACCCCAAACCTCTCTTTCTCCCACCTGAAACTACAACTAAGAGTGTGGAAGAAGGTATTGAATTGATTCATTTATTGCTATGAAGAAAGGTCAATATGTGCTATCATATGATGGTCATTCCACACCTCCCACCTGATATGCTCAATAAACTTAAGATTAAGATTGATGGGATTGAAGATTTAACCCAATTTGATAAGTTTATGAAAATTGAAACTGGTTTTGCTTGGAAGTTTGAATCCGATCTGAAGAAAATCGGACGCAAATCAAATTTAAACTTATAAGCAAATCAGATGTCAAATCAGATTCATACATTTGTGAGGATAATTCAATTTAAGTAATCGCTCAGTAAGTTAATCTCTCAGCTATAGTGAAATCAAGTCTTGTATTAAAAGCAAAATAAGGATGCTACTAGACTACAAAATGAGATTCGACTATGTAACCGGGATATATCCTATCTCTCTATTGCTCTCATCACATGACAGCACAAAAAGAGATGGAGAGACGGGGATACACTCTTACACCCAAGATTTTGCCCCACAACACCCTTCCCCTTCTTCCACATACAAGACGTACCAAATGGCATCAACATTTAACCATATAGTGTTTAACCAATTCAAGTGTGCAAACCTATAGCAGATTGTGATAGAACTAGAATGGTTATGGTACTATTTAGCTTCTACATTTGTGGAGACTCATACATCCAAGTGGCGATATATAACCATCTTTCTATCTCATTTATCGCGTGACATAATCTGATTCTTCCATAAGATATTATATCGAGTTCAAATATCTGTAAAATAATATTAAGAGTATATTACTCAAAGAGTAAGCAAATGATGACCAATATTTGAGGAATCATGCAACATTTTCCTCAAAATGGCCCTATTACTCAAAGAGTAAGCAAATGATGACCAATATTTGAGGAATCATGCAACATTTTCCTCAAAATGGCCCTATTACTCAAAGAGTAAGCAAATGATGACCAATATTTGAGGAATCATGCAACATTTTCCTCAAAATGGCTCCATTTCATCAACCACATGAACTGCAACGCAACAAGTACAAATTAAAGAAACTACACAAACATTGCCGACTATAAATCCCATTTCTCCAAATGAGAGCAAATATTTTCAAGCATGCTTACAACTGGGAGACGAATCAACCAACCAACCTCTCACTTGGGAGACGAATCGTGACTGGCGGATTATTTCGTAGGATGAATAACTGCTTCGACAACGGCTTCCACTTCTTCCTTCACCCGTTCAAACACACTTGGCCCTTTCACTTCATCTATGGAGGTGCTCTCATCAATGTCATCACTCCTTCCATGCGTTTCTTTGTCATGCCTTGGCGATTTATCACCATGATGTCCTGCTGATTTCTCTGCCATGCCAGAATACATAAATATATGCATAAATTTATAATTTAAAATCGAGACTTGGCTAATAGAAGTATCATTTCTACAATGTTCTTCAATAAATAACAGACGTTGGCGTAAACACATTGATTAAAGAGGTTGTGCTCTCCTATGCACTCGAGCTTGAATTCCTCTCTTCGCAATTTACATCGGCTTAACAAATACCACCACCTCAGAGAACTATTAACTTTATCTAAAACCCATCACCAAGATCAAATTTTTACTGCAATTATCATTGGAAAAGAATTCAATTCAACAATATCAACAATATCAACTCTACAGAAACCCAGAAATCAAATGAAAAAATATGTAATTGCTAAAAGTGGACGATGATTTGATATTAGATATGGGGAATTCTGAAAATACAAAGGAAATGGAAGTACCTGAGAGAGAGTCCTTGAGCTCTGGTTTTGGTTCTGCCATTGGAGTTCCTCTGAGAATTTTTGTGGGTCTCAATTTCTTGATTTATTTTGATGTTTGGTTAATTTCTACATTTGCACAAGAGGCGGTGTCTGCGTCTTGGCTGTTAAATTTAGGGCCGACATATGGTGGGGCCGTGTGATGATTTTCGACGGTGCTGATGCAACTGCACGCAGAACTAGGATGGGACGTGCAAAAATGTGATCTTATTTTTTTGGTCAATGCAGAAGGCGTGATCATAGCTTATGATCTGAGCTATTTTGTTGTTGGATTTGGAACTCGAGGCCTTGGATTTACTGTTGGCCCATGACTACCCATATGCCGATAGTGAGCCCAATGAAGCTAAAGTCCCAAATTTCTACGCTCCTTTTCTTTTTCCTACTTTGCACTCATTTTAGTAGGGGTGGGTTGGATTGGGTCTGTTTTTTGGGCCAAAACCGAAACCAAACTGACCTAGTCGGTTGAGCCAAAATTGCAAATCAAAACCGATCAAGTCGGAGATAAAACTGATCATGTCGGTTAACCGACAATGACGAGTTGGTTTGGGTCAGTTTTCAATTTGTGGATGAAGCGGAGTGGGAGAGAGAGCTATCATATATATGGAGAGATTCATGATGGTGGCGGAGGAAGGAAGCATGGAGGACATGGTTGGGAGGCTGTTGTGCTAGGTTTGAGAACTAAGTCTGAAAGTGAGAGAAAAGAGGCCACGAGAACAAACAGCTAAAAAGTGATATCCATTAAACACCCAAAATGGGGCCACAAAGACAAACAGCTAAAAAACAAGAAAAGTAAAGAAAAGGTGATATCGATGCAAACTAGGCAACATAAAAGTCATCCTAGACATATAGACAAAACACCACCGTCACCATTAAGGTCTCTATTCTGTTTAAAACAAATGGGTTTTTGAACATTAGTCCTTGCAAAAGATTAAAATTTTAAAAAAAACCTGGTGCTAGATTAAATATTCAATTTAATCCCTTGAGTGTACTTTTATCCAAATTTACATTCAATTTTTGTTATTTAATGTGTATTTTTATTTAATCTCTCCATATTAAATTTTAATTTTATTAATATGCTCATATTTAGTTTTTTTTTTAATTAGAAATGAATGTAAATGAGAAAATATTAAAAGAAATTTGTGATACAAAAATATATAAATACATAAGCGTATAGAAATGATTGTGCCAAAATATATAAAATTGACTTTTTGTACTGACATGATTGTACGGAAATATATTATAATGAACCTAAATGTATGTACTGAAATGTATTATATTGAATTAATGTACCTAAATGTTAATATTGAAATGTATGTACCAAAATGTACGTACCCAAAATATACATACCTAAATGTCAATACCAAAAATATATGTACCTAAATATTAGTACCAAAATGTATGTACCTAAATGTATTTACTGAAATATAATAATTGAATTAATGTACCTAAAAGTCAATACTCAAATATGTGTACCAAAGTGTATGTAACAAAATACATTATATTGACCAAAATGCATTATATTGAATCAATGTAACTACATATTTGTAATGATGGATATACCAAAATATTCAAATGTATTAATGTACCTAAATGAAGAACATACAAAATTGTTATCGGAATATATATTATAAAAAAAATTAGTTGCCTAAATGTAGACATTAAAATATATTATGATGAATGAAATAAAAATTAAATTTAAATGTTACTAATACATTAAAATAAAAATTAGAAGATAAAATAAAACATCAAAATACAACTAATAAATGATATGATTAAATGTGCTAGGGACTAAAATTGGATTTTAATCTTACATATGGTTATAGTCTAAAACTCATCTTTTTTAAGGAGTAAAATGAAGTTTTCTATTAAAACAAATAAAAGCAAACACACGGTAAGAAAAGAAAAATTAAAACAGGAAATGGTCAAGTAACCTTGTCGCTAAAGCTTAAACTTTCGGTATAGAAATTCCATGAACAATACAATATAACTTTGAACTAGAATTTGTGTAGGAGAAGGTAAGAAAATGGTTAGGATTAGAATTAAGATTCGGTAGGTCAAACTTCAATGCTTCTAGTGTAATTTAAATTATAAAAATGAAATTTCCAGTAAATCTTTGCGGAAATTACTAAAGACTAGGTCAACAGATTGATAAAGTGTGACATCATTTCCCAAATGTTTGTTAGAGGGAATGAGGGCAGTTGCAAAACGTGTCGAAAGGTTTCCAGTTTCCATGTTTTATAACCTTAATCACTTTTCAACAACGACATAGAAATTTGTTGAAAGCCATGTTAGTAGGGTCCAAGGAAACTTTGTAATTAATCATTTGTAGTGTCATTTTATCACAGTGATGAAGAGAAATGTTTCCCTTGCACTACGGCATGGGTACAAACTCCATCGGTTTTCTATTATAACATCTAATCTAAAAAATCTATCATTTAACTCAAAAAAAAAAAAAAAAAATTGTCTCGTGAAAAATGTGAAGGAGAAAAGGAATTAAGATTTGGCTTCTGGGTTTATTTTTATATATGATTATACCCCCACAATTTTCTAAATTTCAAAGGAAACTACAATTAAATAAGTTGTGTCTTTTATAATTTGTAGAAAGTTTATCCTTGTTTTCTTGGACTTTGGATTAACGTTTTGCTCTTTATCTTGTATTAAAAGCAATGACGTGAATGACTACATTCTTGACTAGTACGCTAGGGGTTATTTCTTTGCATAGTTGCCTGACTTTCTCTTTCACACACAGATACACATAAAATTTTCGTAACATTTCGTTGCAATGAAAGAAAACTTACCTGGTAAATGTCTTAGTAAATACTAACCGGTGAGTGATTAAGCACTCTTATATAGTTATACATATATGTAACCTTTTAACCCTTCACGTTTAAACCTCTCTTGGTGTTTTCTCTTTCGATTCAAGCAACTGTTTAACGGGGCCAATTAAATTTCGAACACTGCTGTATGTTCAGGAATCAATTTATAAGGTCAACATGATTTTTGGTTTGACAGAAATTATACAAATGGGCTCGCAGACATCCACCAATTTGAATTCCAAGAGGGCAACGCCTAGAACAATTAGCTTCAAGAAAACTGATTTAAGCAAAACTGGAATATCTGATGGGATGGAAAAAGTGCTTTTTGAAGAATCTATAAGCAGCAAGAAAAGGAAACTAGGTGATCAGCTAAATATTGGGACAAATGTTTCAAGGAAAACTGCAGAGGGAAAAACTGAAATTTTCATTGAAAAGTTAAAGCCAGAAGATTGGGTTTCTCCACGGTCTCCAATTGAGCTTGATGCAGCTGCAAGCAAGGTGCAGAAAGTTTACAAGAGTTACAGGACTAGACGAAACCTTGCAGATTGCGCTGTTGTTGTTGAGGAGCTATGGTTTGTGCAGCTTCATGTCCAATTTTATTGCATAATGCGTAAAAATATATTTGTGCTTATTTGATCGTCTTTTAATTGTTATAGGTGGCAGGCATTGGACTTTGCTGCTCTTAGCAGGAGCTCCGTGTCGTTTTTTGAATCTGTTAAATCAGAAACTGCAGTTTCAAGATGGGCAAGGGCTAGGACTAGGGCTGCCAAGGTGATCTCTTCCTACACATTTCGCTTGCGGTGAAAGTTACTGAGCTTTTAGAAAATTTTAGACATTAGCATTTTGAATAATATTCATTTTAGTATTAGATATAATATTCTTATATGTCGATCTTGTAAGAATGCTATGTTAAACTGTTAATATGTTATACTCATTATGTTTGATGAAGAAGCATATATATATGGTTGATCAATGAACGTAGGTTGGGAAGGGTTTGTCCATGGACGAGAAGACTCCGAAATTAGCTCTAATACATTGGCTTGAGGCTGTAAGCTCACATTAAGATTAATTTTACCGAGTATTTAGCTAATTTTTTTCGATTTTAACACAGTTAAATTAAGTGTACAAATGAATTGAGTCAAGTTGACAACATAATTAGGAATTCCTATTTTTATTTCTTAGTAACGTTTCACATGCAGTACCAAATATTATAAAAATGAAGGATCCTTATCTTCTGCTTGTGCTGTACAGATTGATCCTCGCCATCGGTATGGACAAAATCTGCACTTGTACCATGATGTTTGGTTTAATAGTGGGAGCTTTCAGCCTTTCTTCTACTGGTAAAATTCCTCCAGAACCCAAGTTTTCTGATTTAACATTTTTTAGGATTCCTTCGCAATTTTTGATGCTCTGTCCGGAACGAAGGTTGGATGTTGGTGATGGTAAAGAAGTAAACCTTGACAAGTGCCCAAGAACTGATCTGCAGTCTCAATGCATCAAATACCTTGGACCAGTGAGTATCAATACATTTAATCGCTCTTCCCAGATACTGGGAACATGTGTCGCATTGCCTAGTCTTTAATATGCCATCAATTTAAAAAAATGAAATTAACGCCAATATGCCATAAAAAAGTGACGATATCATTGCTGCCAACAAAACTTATTAATGTATCGATATATTTTTGACAATATCCATACATGCCTAAAGAACAACCTTCCTGCAGAAAGATCTCCATAGCAGGCCATCTGATCTATATTTAAGTTTCAATTTTTTTTTCTAAATTGATCTTGATTAATGATGTTCTGTTCTCCGTATATTGCTCTCACAGAAAGAGAGGGAAGCTTATGAAGTGATTGTGGAGAGTAGGAAGCTTGTGTACAGACAAAGTGGGAAACTTGTGAATACTCGTGAGGGTTCTAAGTGGATCTTTGTCCTCAGCACATCAAGGAATCTGTATGTTGGGGAGAAGAAGAAAGGCTTTTTCCAGCACTCTACTTTTCTTGCTGGAGGGGCCACCATTGCAGCAGGGAGAATTGTAGCCTCTAATGGGCTTCCTGAGGTTAATTACTTGCTTAATTGCTAATGAATTATTTCCTTAAACACACACAATATATATAACATTACAAATTACATAATTATTTTTTTCCTCATAATTTATGAACCTTAATTTGATCTTCATAATGTTCAGGCTGTATGGCCTTACAGCGGTCATTACTGCCCGACAAAAGAGAATTTTATGGAATTCATCAGCTTTTTAGAGGAGCATCAGGTGGACTTGGCTGATGTCAAAGTAAATTATTCTTAAGCCTGAACCCTGATCTCATATCATATGTATCTCATATAGAGGCCTAAACTTGGTGTTTAAGCTGCTAATTAAGAGGGAATTTTCGTACTACTCTCATTAAGCGTATTTCTTTTTCTAATTGTTCTATGCAGACATACCCTATCGATGATGATGTTCCACCATCATATGCTATACCAAGAATGATCATGTGAAGTCAAAGTCTATATCAAGCACCCTTGAAGATATCCCCATCTGCTAATGTGTTTACATTATTAGTGTATATACTCAAATGTTTAAGTTAGCTAAGTTCCTATATATATTTGACATGTAATCTGTATATCTCACATATTCCACTATCGTATTACCACCCTAAGCCTAAAGCCTATAGATTATAGTTTTCCCTTTTGACATTAAATTCAATCAAATATAAATAATTCATCTCTTTCTGTAATTGTTATTCTGACCTGGATCATAAGTCATATCATTACATAAATTTGATTAATCCCCATGGTTTCGGGTGTGGCTATTGATGCCAGTAGCCACCGAGGATAGACCATGAATTGACATGCGCAAACCTTAAAGCACACAATCTCGAACTCACAAGTAAGGTTGAGAGAGACACCTCAAAGATTGTTGGTTAAATTAATACACACACACAATATGTACAACGCAGATATATTGACGCATCGCGATATGTGACAACAACACTAACCCTTAAATACTCACTTTGAAATTCACAAGCGCTAACCCTAAAAGATGCACTTTGGAACAAGTAAAGTTGAGAGAAACTTCAAAGTTGTTGATTAATGTGATATTTGGTAAAATGATAAAATGCTTATATATTGAAGCATCATGACATGTGAAAAGATACGCTTATTAACACAATATAAAAATTAAAGTTGAGATAAACTTCAAAATTTTATTTAATAATATGAAAAATAACCCGAAAAGAAAATTTAAAGCCACTTTATAACAAAAAAATCTACTAGAATTAACTGAAAAGAATATTACATTATACCATAAATGTACTGTAATTAACTGAAAGCTGTAAAAGTATCAATATTTTATTACAACAGAATATCCCGGAAGGACCACACCCTAGTGGTCATCAGACCCTCTACAACAATGCATGCATAAGTTCAGAGCATAAGTAAAGTGGTGCAAACCAGGGGCGGATCCACAGTGGGGTCATTGGGGTCACACGACCCCTTGGAAGCCATGGAAATAACCTTGGAGCTGCTGGTGCGACCTCTTGGAGCTGCCGGTGCGACCTCTTGGAGCTGCACACCACGTGATCGACGAAATGTCTGAAAGAAGAGGAAAGAGTTCGCCTGCCTTCACCGCGCTCTCCGTGCTCTTCGGGTTTGTCTTCTCACCTTATATCTCCTTCATTTGTGTTTTTATGTTCTTCATTTTTCGTTTCTGTATTTGATTGTCGATTTAGTCATCGTTTTGATCATTCATGTATGCAGATAAAGAAAGTGAAGCTGATTTGGGAGTGAGGCCTCGGCAGAAGGATGACCTTCATGCGACAAGGAAATCACACAGTTCATGCAATTCCGAAAAATATGTATGTTTAGTATGAGGTGTTCCAATAATTATAACGAATCAAACAAGTAGCTTTGTTCTTGTTAAATTTTACTTCAGTCAACTAAGAATGTTTCTGTATTTTCTTAGCAGGTAGAGATGTGCACGCCGAAGGTCTGTAATGGTAATTGCGCATCGTCATTTCATCCGCCCCTGTGCAGCAGTGCGCAATGGAAGAGAAATCCTTTTTCAGGTAAATTTGACAGTTTCCATATAATACTAAGATATGTACAACAACTTGTCGGAGCCATTTTATACATAAAATATATAGTTGAAGTGATTAACAAGACCCGATGAAATTGGCGGTTTAGGTGTCTTCTTCTTCAGGGGTCTGACTTCTCCAAAATAATTTCATGGCAAGCAGCTAGCTTTCAGCATAGAACCTGCTATAAACACGTTTGTATAAGATTACATTGATGCTGATTAGTTGTGGTATTTTTGGTATCATACTGTTCGTACTTGCAAAGTTTGCATTTTTTTTCAATTTGAGATCTAAGATTACATTGATGCTGATTAGTTGTGGTATTTTTGGTTGTCAGGGAAAGTGAAGGCACCTTTCAGTATGGTAACTATCGGCGAGAGGCTGATCACGCTATCTTACCAAGACCCGATGAAATGACGATATGCATGCCGTTTCTGTTCAAAACACACCGGATGCACTCTTCCACTTCATCCATCCAGCTTGTATTCTATGGATGAGATCTCCATCAAATTCTCCGTTCTTTTGCAAGATAGATCCTAGGTAGCGAAAACGGTCGCTCTTTGGTATTTCCTAATCTCCGATCCTCACCCCTAACTCATTTTGGCCTCCGTTTGCACTGAACTTGCACTCCATATATTCTGTCTTTGATCGGCTTAGGCAAAGACCTTTAGATTCCAACACTTATCTCCAAAGGTTAAGCTTCGCGTTTACCCCTTCCTGCGTTTCATCTATCAACACTATATCGTTTGCGAAAAACATACACCAAAGAATATCATCTTAAATATTAAGTTTGTGATTTTCGCTAGATTGCTCCGGTCATTAATGTGGATAAGTATGTAAATGGATAGAGACAGGAAGCAAACACAAGATGTACGTGGTTCACCCAGATTGGCTACGTCCACGGAATAAAGGAGTTCTCATTAATTGTGAAGGGTTTACACAGTACATAGGTTCAAGCTCTCATTTAGTGAGTACAAGTGAATGATTTAATACAAATGACATTAGGAAATATTATGGGAGAATGATCTCGTAATCACGAAACTTTTAAGTACCGAAGTGTGGTATCGTCTTGACTTGCCTTATCTGTCTCATAGGTAGATGTGGCATCTTCTCTGGAAGTACTCTTCCTCCATCCAGGGGTGGTATCTTTAACTGGTGGAGATGCACAAGGTAATGTATCAATTTCACTTGACGCTTACTTGTAGTTTCAGGCTTGGTCAAGCGCGATACAAACCATGTAGTAAGGAGTCTCCCAAGTCGCCGAGCTAGGGGATCTGCTGAAAGAGGTGACAGACAAGGTAAGCAATCAGAGCTCCAAGCAGTCAGTCCCAGATCAGAAGTTTGATTTCGAGTTCTGGCTGATTGTTATCCTTCTCCTTATCTTGCAGGCAGCATGAAGGATAAAGAGAAGAAAAATGAGAAAATGATGATATGAAATACTTTTGCTTTTGAAGAAGTAACTTTCCACAGGCTTATTCTTGAACTGGGCTGGAGGGTTTTTCTGGTTTCCTCCAGAGTATAAGGCCGACTGAAGAATTTGAGGGTCAAAACAAGTCCATCAAATCTAGAGTACGTTCGACCCTGCTGATATGGGATACTTTTGCTTTTGACAGAGTAGTGGATGTATCGGCACGTGTGCTGTTACGCTTGTCTCCACATGCTTCCTTGTATCCTTCTCACTTGCCCTATCTGTTCCTCAGGCAGATGCGGTATCTTCCCTGGAAGCATAAGATGTTGAAGATGAGTACTCGAGAGCAATGCCAGGTAAGTAATCAGGTAAGGGGTTCCAGGCAGTCAGTTCCTGGCTGGAAGCTTGATTCCAAGTGCTGACTGATTGCTCTCTTTCTCCTTGTCTTGCAGGTAAGAACAAGGCCAAAGGAAAAGACAGGGAAAAAGCATGATATGGGATACTCTTGCTTTTAACCCTGATGATATGAGATATTCTTGCTCTAGTATAGCTTGTTTGCAGAGGTATTATCGGGGGGAAAGAAAGCTGAATATTTCGAAAGGCTTCGTTGGGAGTGCCCTCTCAGATATGAGGAAGGGTTGAGCATTTTTGTAGGTCTGCCTGTCCGTTGGGGATGGAGGTCGACATATATAGGAGTCTCCCTAACAACAAGGAGTAATGCTATTCCTTTAGCCTGCTTGGTCATAGCACGGTAGTGGGAGCTGCCAGCTTCACGTGTTTTAACTCTGTCAGAGCACTTTGAAAAAGTGGTCTGTGGTATCTGGAAAGCTGATGTTACGTGTGAAGATTACAGACAAGCTTTATCCAAGAAGATCTGGCTCTTGAAGTGGAGAAAGCAGTGTGAGGATTACAGACAAGCTTTATCTAAGGGGCTCTCGAAGTTGAGAAAGCGGTGCCTCTTCGGTTTTCGAACAAGCAATCCTGTCGGGGATCTGTCTCTCGAGATTCAGAGAACGATGCCTCTTTGATGTTTGAGAAAGTAATCCTGCTAGGAGTCTGGCTCTCGAGATTAGGAGAGCGGTGTCTCGTTCGCTTTTTGAGAAAGTAATCATGTTGGGAGTCTGGCTCTTGAGATTCGAAGGGCGGTGCCTCTTCGATCTTGAAGCAAGCAATCTTGTTGGGAGTGTTTTCTCGAATGTGAGTAAAGGTTGGGCATGTTTGCTAGTCTACCTTGCCACGAAGCACAGAGGTTGACACACAGGGACTTTCCAATTATCCAGCAGTGGTCCTGTTCCTTTACCATTGTGGGTAATAATATGGTAGCTAGACCTTCAAAATTTATGTGTCTAAACTTTGTTAGTGCTGTTTCTTTGCTATTCTTTTACCCTTCTTGGTCAGAGCGATGTAGTGGGAGCTGCAAGCTTCACGTGTCTCAACTTTGTCAGAGAACTTTGGCAAAGTTATCTGTGGTACCCATGAGCTATGTTGCGTGTGGGAAAGTGGGTGATTGAACAGTAAGATTCATGTGCTTTCTACTTCACCAGAAATCTTCGACAGAATGCCCATAATTTCCGCAAAGCTGAGTGTGCGTGTGACAGGTGCTGACAAGGCTGGAAAAGTAGGTGCCTCTTCGATTTCTGAGATCGGCCCTCGTGGTCTCTGAGCAGCCCAGCTTTTGAGAAAGCAAGCGCCTCTTCGATTTCTGAGATCGGCCTTCGTGGTCTTTGAGCAGCCCAGCTTTTGAGAAAGCAAACGCCTCTTCGATTTCTGAGATCGGCCCTCGTGGTCTCTGAGCAGCCCAGCTTTTGAGAAAGCAAACGCCTCTTCGATTTCTGAGCAGGCGCCTCTTCGATTTCTGAAGCTCCGTCGAGTGCAGATTTTTATAGAGGGCTGGCATTAAGTTCCAAAGCACACTTGAATCTCCACCAGTAGAAGCTCCATTCTTGCACTTCTAAGATCTTGATTTGTCCGACCTCTTCTCTCTTCAACACCTTTGAAAATGTCTGGCCCCTCCGACCGTCGTTTTGACTTGAACCTTGTTGAAGAGGCAGCCCCGCCTTCTCCAGACAACATATGGCGCCCATCCTTCGTCTCCCCTACTGGTCCTCTTACCGTTGGGGATTCCGTGATGAAGAATGATATGACCGCTGCGGTGGTGGCCAGGAACCTTCTCACTCCCAAAGATAACAGACTACTTTCCAAACGGTCTGATGAGTTGGCTGTTAAGGATTCTCTGGCTCTCAGTGTTCAGTGTGCAGGTTCTGTGTCTAATATGGCCCAACGCCTATTTGCTCGAACCCGCCAAGTTGAATCATTGGCGGCTGAAGTGATGAGTCTCAAACAGGAGATTAGAGGGCTCAAGCATGAGAATAAACAGTTGCACCGGCTCGCACATGACTATGCTACAAACATGAAGAGGAAGCTTGACCAGATGAAGGAATCTGATGGTCAGGTTTTACTTGATCATCAGAGATTTGTGGGTTTGTTCCAAAAGGCATTTATTGCCTTCGTCTTCTGGGGCTGTACCGCGTAATGAAGCTCCAAATGATCAACCTCTGATGCCTCCTCCTTCTAGGGTTCTGTCCAGTACTGAGGCTCCGAATGATCCCCCTCCGGTGCCTTCTCTTTCTGGGGCTCTACCGACTGCTGAGACTTCTCCTAAGCAACCTTTGTGAAGGCTCCCTCTTGTTTGTTTATTTTGACTCATGTATATGTACATATTTTGTAACTTATCGGGGATATCAATAAATAAGCTTTCCTTCATTTCAACGTATTGTGTTAAATACACCAAAGCCTTCTTCGCTAAGTTCTTTGAATTTTTCTTTTGTTGAAGCTTGTATGTTGAAGCTTTGTGAGTGGAGCATGTAGGTTGAGGTAGTGTTCCCTTAATTTCCCGAGTGAGGAAAACTTCTCGGTTGGAGACTTGGAAAATCCAAGTCACTGAGTGGGATCGGCTATATGAATCTTAGAACGCCATTGTGCTCGATCCTGTGTCATGTCCTCCGTTAGATCCAAGTACTCTAAGTCTTTTCTTAGAGTCTCTTCCAAAGTTTTCCTAGGTCTTCCTCTACCCCTTCGGCCCTGAACCTCTGTCCCATAGTCGCATCTTCTAATCGGAGCGTCAGTAGGCCTTCTTTGCACATGTCCAAACCACCGTAACCGATTTTCTCTCATCTTTCCTTCAATTTCGGCTACTCCTACTTTACCCCGGATATCCTCATTCCTAATCTTATCCTTTCTCGTGTGCCCACACATCCAACGAAGCATCCTCATCTCCGCTACACCCATTTTGTGTGTACGTGTTGATGCTTCACCGCCCAACATTCTGTGCCATACAGCATCGCCGGCCTTATTGCCGTCCTATAAAATTTTCCCTTGAGCTTCAGTGGCATACGGCGGTCACACAAACACGCCGGATGCACTCTTCCACTTCATCCATCCAGCTTGTATTCTATGGTTGAGATCTCCATCTAATTCTCCGTTCTTTTGCAAGATAGATCCTAGGTAACGAAAACGGTCGCTCTTTGGTATTTCTTGATCTCCGATCCTCACCCCTAACTCGTTTTGGCCTCCATTTGCACTGAACTTGCACTCCATATATTCTGTCTTTGATCGGCTTAGGCGAAGACCTTTAGATTCCAACACTTCTCTCCAAAGGTTAAGCTTTGCATTTACCCCTTCCTGAGTTTCATCTATCAACACTATATCGTCTGCGAAAAGCATACACCAAGGAATATCATCTTGAATATGTCCTGTTAACTCATCCATTACCAACGCAAAAAGGTAAGGACTTAAGGATGAGCCTTGATGTAATCCTACAGTTATGGGAAAGCTTTCGGTTTGTCCTTCATGAGTTCTTACGGCAGTCTTTGCTCCTTCATACATATCCTTTATAGCTTGGATATATGCTACTCGTACTCCTTTCTTCTCTAAAATCCTCCAAAGAATGTCTCTTGGGACCCTATCATACGCTTTTTTCCAAATCTATAAAGACCATGTGTAAATCCTTTTTCCCATCTCTATATCTTTCC